GCTCAATTTAACTAATATTTTTTGAGCGCTTACCAAATACCAGGCAATCTCCTAGGTACCAGGGATTCAAGCCAAAAATTTAACTCTCAGTTCACTTCCTTTTATTCAAGCATTTTTAAAGAAATAGGATGTTACTGTAATCAGGACTAGCCATTGATCTCTGAAGCAAAGAATGAATCTTGAAATGTGAAGACACCATGAAGGATCACAAAACTTCCCAGGCAGAAAAGAAAAAAATGGCATTTAAGACACAAGAACAGGTTGTGTAAACCCCACATACATGCAAGCCATGAAACCTGGCCATGGTTTATCTGGGAGATACTGGGATGGGTTCCAAAAGCAGCTGCCTCCTTGGTGATTTAATCCTCATTCACTGTGGCTGTGCTTGTTACCTGGAAGCAAAGACCCAAGTCATCTGCCATGACTGAGCAAAACAGGCCAGCAGAAGAGGCTGCTGAAGAGTTAACCCACTGCCAAAAGCCCACTGTCGGGAAACCAGAATGATTTCATAGGCATGAATAATCACTGAAGAGAAGAGACATAATGAGATATATTTTTAAAAGATGAATCTGAGAGCAGAGTTCCATAAGCTCAATAAGAAAACGAAGGCTGCATCTCCTGGAGACCAGTTAGATTCCTGCAACAATACAAGGCCCTTAACGAAGGTGCTAATAACTTTCTGAAAAAGTTAAATGACCTGCCTCATTAAGAACTAATGAAAATAAAAAAGATTATGGCGTCTTCACATTTTTTAATCGACAATCCCCAATGCTTTTTTGTAAACCCTTCTTTCCTGATGCTGTTACAGTGCTTGCCATCCACACCCAACTATTAGCCAGTCTATTTCTACTTACCTTCAGGAATTTAGTTTAAGTAAGGTTTAGCGATCCCCATATTATTGGTTCTTGTAGATTAGTATCTAGTTTCACAAAACTTGAATAGTTAAAAAAAAAATACAAACTAATCTTTTTCTTTAAAGCTGGGATTGTTCAGAATTGAAACGAACACCATCAGATTTAATTCAAATCGATTTTTCCAGAATGTCAAAAACAGGCAATACCTTTTCCTATTCTGCCATGAAATCTAATTCTTTCAATACATAATTCTATAACCCTTTCCCTTCCCAATCCCCATTTCCCAAACTGTACTAATTTAAGATTCTAAAGGGCCAACGCAGGGGGAAACATTTATGGTCCCATGCAAAGAGACTCATAAAAATAATTAATTAAAAGTGTAACCGGCACTACACAATATATGTTTAGTGAAGGATACTACTATGTTAAGGATATGGGAAAAAGATGCTCAAGGCAAATTATCACATCTATAGGTTAGTGTGATTAACCTGTCACATAAATATGTTTAAGACAAAATGATCTAGCACTAAAAACTATTAAAAAGGTCTCCTGCTGACATTTTATCACTAGACATCTCATACTGCTTTTCTTTCACAGAAAAAAAAAAGACAACTGAAATTCGTTTACTAAGAGCAGCGATATATAAACCTATCCTTAAATAACTCATCCTTTCTTTTTATGTTTTCCATTCCCCCAAATAAAATTTTGTCATCTATATCACATTCCAAAACCAAAACAAACGACTGTATCTCACTAAAGAAGGAAGAATTTTCAGAATGTATTTCAGAGCTTTTACTGAGTATAGTACAAATTATGAATGAATATATTTTATTTAAAACATGTTATTGACAGAAATCTATCAATAATAATGCGAGTATTGTCAAGGGCCTGTCAATATTAATGTAATTATGATTAAGGGGATAACATGGATTTTTAGCTATAATACCAAGTAACATCTCCTATATTGCTGCTATCAATATACACATTATTATTGACCTGTTCCGAGACTCTCAGTACTAGATGTATTACCACTAGGCATATTTGTCAATGCATGCTGCCTACAAAAACTCTACATTTAAATTTACAGTCCTGTAAACTTTGTCAGCAGAAACACGTGATTCCCAAGTATTCTCTAAGGTATCAAAACCATGTATGCACCCACTGGCAGGGTATCCTTTCTCAGATCCACAATAATCAACTAATTTTTAGTATGACAATGTTGCTGCCACACTATCCTCAGGGTTCAAGTAATCAAATGGATGAGACAATATATTAATTTTTTCCTTTTAGGTTTGAAAAACATTTAAACTAATGTTTCATATTATGAGGTTATGTGAATCAAGTTCTATAACTGGAGATCTTAAGCTTTGAACCTATACCCTACTATTTTATTTCCTTTGTGTAGTCAGATAGATTTACTGTCCATTGTATTGAAATCAATACTAATAAATGGGACATGCATCAAAGAGGGATTTAACAGGACACCGATTCCCAGAACACATTTCAAACATAAGCAAAAGAGAAAAAGCTATGACTGAGACTCATTAGGACACTGTGACCTCTGGCACTGTGAATAGGCCTAGAAATCAACAACTAGAAGTTCAAATCCCACTTCTGCCACAGGCTTGCTAAATACCTTGTCACTACTCTTTTGTTCTACTCTTTCATCAAATATAAACCAAGTTTCAATAGTTTATAGATATCTAATGTTATAAATCCCAATTGTACTCTTTTGGATACAGACGTGTGTTAAGTTTAAACTTCTGTTGTGGATGCTAGACTTCTAAATTACTCTTAACTTAAATGTAATCGTCATCAAAATTCAAATAGGATTTTTCTTTTTGGGACTGGCAGTGAGTACACAACAAAATGTTTCTCGGATAAACTTCAAAATTGCATCAATTGCTCAAAGAGATGAACAACAATAAGTAACTTGCCCTAGCAGATATATAGATACGTTTTTTTAATTTGGAGAGAAAGGGGAACTCAAATCAAACACTAAAATCATCAAGATTATAATTAGTCTTATACAATTGAGTATTTCCTATTTCATTTACTTATTTAAGATACTTATTCAAGTATCTAAAACTAACACCAACCAACGTTTCCCTCTGGTTTTTTAAACCTTACAACAGAATCTCCAATACCTTGGTCTAGCTTTACAAATACATTTTTAAGAGAAAAGCATGGCACTCATAATCTTTTCTTTCAGAAAGTTGATACTTCTGAGTCTTTAAGAGAGAAAGCATGTTGTGAAAATAAAGAGCAGATGTTTGAGTGAATATAGGGAAAGAGAGTTAAACTGGTACTGATTAGTTCTGTATCTTAGACCAGGTTCACCAACAGGCTGTGTGACTCTGGACAAGTCATTTTATCACACTATACTCTCTAGCAGTTAAAATATATAAAAATAAATTGCAAAAAATCAACTGAAAAGTCTACATATCTAGAATCCTTATAAGAACTATTTTAGGAATCCTTGGAAGAGGAAGAAAAAAATAAAAGAACTGCCATTTCCAATGCAGAAATGATAATGTTGAGTGTGAAAAAGGCCAGAGAAAGTGGAGAAATCAGAACAGAATAGGTGAGACGGAGACACAATCATAGAAAAAAAAATAGCAAAGCATCTGGAAGACAATACCCACCAGCTTATGAGTTTACGACTGTAGTTAAATACATACCACTTACCAGTTATCAAGTGCTAACAAGGGACTATCATAGCTAAGAATCCTATGCAAAATTAAATTTTAAATCATTCAATCCTTACTGATATTATGGAAGACGTTCTTTTATCACTTGTTTTAAAACAAGGAAACTGAAGCACAGAGAAATTAGCTGACTTGTGTAAAATCACACAACTATTTTAGTATATGTGCTGCCGAGTGGCAGAGCCATGCTCCAAACTAGTGTCCTGGACTGACAAGGTGGTGATGGGCCTAAAAGATGAACATAAACACTTTAGGAGGATACCACAGGACATGCAAATGGGGCTATTTTAAAAGGCTAAATACTAAGAGATTAAGAGTATAGGCATGAATTTACAGCAAAAATTACAATCCAAGGATGAACAAACAAGAGCCACATGAAACACATGAAGCAACTAGATCTTTAAGTAACTCTATAAATGTAGAAAAGGGCTCTAGAACCTAAGAAGAGAATTTTAAATGACTTGCAAATTATTGGCACACATGTTTAATTGCATATTTTATGGCATTCAAGACAACATAGAAGGACACCTACGTAGCTCAGTTAAGCCTCTGCCTTCGGCTCAGGTCATGATCCCAGGACCCTGAGACCCGAGTCCCGCATCGGGTTCCTTGCTCAGCAGGGAGCCTGCTTCTCCCTCTGCCTCTGCTGCTCCCCCTGCTTGACTGTGCACTCTCTCTCTCTCTCTGACAAATTAACATATCTTAAAAAAAAAAAAAAAAGAAACAACATGGAAATATCCACAAAGGAACAGAGGTATTACTAATGGGAAAGAAATACCATGTGACACATTATTACGTGTGAGGCATTATGTTTTCTTCACACTCTTTATCTCACTTAATCCTCCTAACAGAGTAAATACTATCATGTCCATTTTAGAAGACAAAAGTTAGACTTGAGAAGATTAACAACCTGTTTAAGGTCAGACGACAATCAGTAAATTTCTGGTAAACAGTAGAGAAATTGTTGAACACACAAAGGAAGTTAGTAATTAGTATGTGGTAAACCTGGAACAAATTCAGTCCCGCAGAGCTCAAAACAAAATTTTTTCCCTCAAGATCATTCACAAGACCAGACTGCCAGTCAAGCTCCCAGGACTGCAAATGGGGAAAGAAAGTAAAGGAATGTGGTAAAGTTGCCCATGTTGCCTGGGATGCATCTTGTGTACATTTTCTCTCCCTGACTCTATACATGTGGTCAGAAAACTATTCAAAGAGACTGAATGTCCAACCTGAACAAAGGGAATATGTGAGTGAAAAAATGAGGCATGAACATTCATTTAACTGTTATGAACACATACTCTTTGCAAGATAGAGGCAATGCTAACTCATCTAACATTAGAAGGGAACAGTTATGCAGAATCAAAACAGAATTATTCTACAGCTTTTGGTTTTTCTGTCTTAATAGTAAGAAGACAACTTGGATGAAATTTTATCTCACCTTACTGACAGGCAGTTAAGGAGGGAGAGGTCTGAAAAAAAAAAAGAAAACATATTAAATAGAATAAAAAGCAATAGAGAAAAGAGCATTTTGATCGTATAGACGGTAAAAGATTGAAAAGAAGTTGATTAACATTGCACAATGGGAAGGACAGAGGGTGCTAGACATCCTCTCTCCTGTTTCCACTTCCATGGAGAGAAATCACAGTGCTGGCATTTGCAGTGCCAGGATTACATGGGGCAAATGGAGCAGCACAGAGCTTTTCTCCAGAGGTTTTTTCCACATTCCAAAGGAACTGAAGAGGAACACGGAATGTTTAGAAACTGCTGTCATTTCACAGGAAGGAGGTAAAGGGGACATCCAATTTGCTTCGAGGTTGCCCAAGATAATCAAGGGAGGAAAAAAAGGAGCAAGTGATTCAGAGCAGAACTTTTGTCCAGAAAGATTGTGCATATGGCATACATTTTCCTTGTGCTATAGGAACCTGAGCACAGGGAAGTGCAAGAGAGAAGGAAAATTTAAAATTACCTGATGCTGTGAGGAAAACAAGGGGCTAAGACTTAAAATGCAAATTTACTAGTAACGTGATGTTGGAAAAGACTGTTAATGTCTTTAAGATCCAGTTACAGAATATGCAAGATGGAAAATATCTGCCCTTCCTATTGCAAAGATTATTATGAGCTTCAAAAATAAGCAAAAATTTTATGGTTAAAATTCCAGGGTAGGAGAAAGAGAGAAAAATAAAGAATTATGATTCTGATCACAAAGAATTAAATTTGAAGTTTGTATTTATTAAACAAATGAGACAATATAGACCTGTTTGTAGCTTTTAGTAATGAATTAATTATGAATGTATCTTTTACTATTAAAAAAACTACTAATCAAATGAATGCACATACATTTGGATGTGTGTGGATACAAATGAGTAATTTGAAACAGAATCATAATGCTAGATAAAACACAGATCATCTAGTCTAAGACATGAATTTAGATTTCTTAACAGAAACACTTTTTTTCAAACAGAACACATACAATAGCTGCTCTTGTAAAATAGGGTTGAGTGTCTGCTTGCTTTGTCTCTCCCCCAGGAAATTTCTATAGGAATTCTTCTTCAGAACATATTTAAAAACACAGATTGAATGCTACCCCTAATTTCTAAAAATGAAGAGAATAAGGCCACGAGGTAGGGCTGGTCAAAGGAAACCAGAGTCAGGACTAACACTCAATTCTCTTGACTTAGGCTAGTATTCTCCTTACTATGTCCTGTTACTTCCATTTTCTTCCTTTTTTTAAAAAGGAAAAAAATAATAAATATATAATAAATAATAAAATAAATACATATATGTACTTTTTTTTTTTTTTTTACTTTTTAAAGAATTCCACTATCTCTCTTTTTCCCAGTCCCCTTCTGACTCAAATCATTCAACTCTAATGTTTCTGGAGAGAAGTTAATTGATAATATGGGCAGATCAGAGGGAAGATAAAGTAAAAAAAAAAAAAAAAGTCACCCATCCCAAGTTTATTTTGTTCAGGTTTAACTAAAGATAACACATTCGGGAAAGATGTTTAAACTGCAAATTGTGGTGTGGATAAAATCTCAAACTCCCTGCAACTGCCTGTAATTGTTAAGGTAAAAAATTCTCAAGGGGCATCACAGAACACCAGAACACGTTAGATGTGGACGTTCAACACCCTGGTCTCCGGAAAAGCCCTTTCACGAAATGTGGTATTTTTGGAAAATGGAACCTAAAGAAATAAGAAACAATGACTTTTCATTTAAAGCACCAGAAGAAAAATGCCAATTATTCTCACACTCTCAGTTATCAGAAATCAAATGTTAAATATAACAAACTCATCGCAAGCAGTAACATAACGAACGTTCTGAACAGCTCTTCCTCCCGAAGAAAATTAAAACTGCGTCTAAGTTCACAGGCTTTCAAAAATGTTAGAAACTTAAGCATTCCCTATTTTTGTACCAATATAACACTTTACACGAGCCATGCGATATTAAGGAGTTTGGACACTGCAAAATTTTTAAGGCTTTCTTAAAAAGTAAATCTCACCACCGACAAGTGCGCGGAAAAGATTTTTGAAGTGTTTCAGAAAGTCACCTCTCGTGGAGGGCAAAGGAACTCAAGTCTAGCTGTGTTTGTCTTTTTTCTTTTAATGGTGCGATTCTAAGACTATTTTTAGGAGCTCGGGCCTAGTTCATTCCCTTTCCCAAATCAGACTCTGATTTGCTTCTTCCAGGAAAACAGGAAGCCCATAAACAGGGAAACTCAAGCTTAAGGGCGACAGCGACAACGTCGTGAAACACCATGCCCTCCCGGCTGTAAGCAAGACCTCAGGTTTGCACTCCGGCTCTCTCGGGCAGACACTGACCTTAGGAGTCTGCGAAAACGCCCCCGCTCCACGTAACTTTCTCTGAGACATTCTCTGGGAAGCTTGGTTTCTCCCAGAACCTGGATTACCCAGGCTTTTTCCGGAACTCGCGGGCTTCCGGAGCGACGCAGGACCCGGAAGTGTCTGAGAAAAAAAGGGGAAATTAAACCCGGGAGAACTAAGCTTTCGAGCGTGGCGGAAGGCCCCGGAGGGCCCAGCAACAGCGAGCGCCGAAGAACCGAAGGCCCGAAGGGCCGAAGAGCCGACGAGCCGAAGAGCCGAAGAAGACACCCGCGCGCGGTGATTGGTCGGCTGGCCACTCTGAGGAAAACGTATCTGATTGGCAGGACAGTTGCGAACCCGTCAGCCCCGGGTTGGGACCGCGCGTGAAGAGGCCTCGGTGTCAAGAGGCCGCGGGGAAGCCGGGGCTCTCTGAGGGCAGGATTTTCCCTGCCCTTGGACAACGCGGCGTGCGGCCAGACCAGCGCCGCCGAGTGGCAGCGGGCTGCCTCCGCAGCTCCCGGGCTCCTGGCTCGCCCCGGGTGGAGGGCTCACAGCGGGATGGCCTCTTGGGGAGGGAAGCCCTTGGGGAGGGCGTCGGCAGCTCCGGGGCGGGGGCGGTTTTGCTGCGCGTGCGTGCCGAGGGTGGGTAGCTCGTTGACCTCTGCAGGCTTGGACGGCGGGTAGCCCCGTCCAGGTAGACGTCCGCCTTGCACGGCTTCGGCCCGAGAGGCCCTGCGGGTCGCCTCGACGCGCTCGCACCGTGGGGGAGTGAGCAGCCGAGCGCCCCAGGGTCCGTCTGAATCACCCAGGAACGATTAGAAACCGGACAGCCGGGCCGCCCAGCCCTTGGTAACCGAGTCTGAATTTCTAGGGCTGGGGCCTGAGGGAAGGTGTTTTTTGAGAGTTCACCAGCAATCATGTGTAGCTGCGTGAATTGTCACTGCCTACTGATGTTGTAGTATGAACTTGGCCGGAGGGTTTGCCCTAAGCTTTGAAGAGAGGTGGGTAAACCTTCCTGCACGTAGTAGGTCTTAGGAACGTTTTGTTGCCTCACACTCTCTTCTCCCCAAGAGCGCACAGTCCTACAACAGCTGTCCTGGTAACATGTTCCGGAGCGTATTCTGTAGAAGCAGTATTACCAGACAGCTTTTACTTTTTAACAAAAAATAATTTGGAACAGAATTCATATTCTGTTCCACAGAGTATGAAACATTATGGATAATAGAACATTTATTAATGAATTTTAATACTGCTCAAATTCATCTTCACATCAAAGGTGTACAATTTAACATACCTGCAGTTTTGTTGTGTCCCCTGCACTAAGGAGATCTTGGAAAAAGCAGTCCTAAGAAGGATGATGTTGATGGTTTCCCGAATTAGTTAAAAGTCCTTCCCGGCACATGAACCAACAGTACAGATGAGACAGAGTAGTAGCTACAAGTTAATAGGGTGTGTGGTTCACTTGGCGCAGGAGGGGAGATTTTTCTAGAGCTGCAGTTGGCTGTTATAGTAGCTGCCAGCCACCTCAAATGTGGGTAGGCCAAACTGAGGTCTAAGTAAAATGCACACTGGATTTCTACGGATACAGTATGGGAAAAAAAAAGAACGTAAACGAGTTCATTTTATATTGATGACATGTTGAAATGAGAATGTGCTAGAAAATTTAAAATTACGTATGTGGCTCCTGTTAAACTTATGTTGAATGGTGCTGTTCTGGAGGGTAAGAAAATCTTTTTGAAGAAGACCAAGGCTTTCATTTACTAATTGTGAAGGAAGGCAACCATGTTGCACTTTTCAGGTAGGCCAGCAGATATACTTGCTTCATTTAATTTTTATGGAAGTGGGAAAAAAGCACCCCCAAAGGAGTAAAACTGATTAAGAATGTAAAACATGTAGAGCATTTAAGATTTTGGTTGAAAATGTTTAAAGTAAGCTCCAACTTTTATCATTTAACCTCTTGATAGAGTATACCTCTTTATTTTTCCAGTGAGCTAGTAAGCTGAAATTTCAGGGAAGCTTTGCTTCCAATTTTCTGTACTTAATTTAAAAATACATTTGTTTTTCATTCCTTTATTTAACAGAAGCCTGCTGGGGGCCAGGAATATTGCTAAGCAGTGTTGCAAAGGTGAACACCCAGACATGGCCCTTACTGTCTTGGAGCTAATGAGTACCAATTCAGAGACAGTGAAAAAGTAGATAACCACAGCATGCTGTATTTGGCCTTTGAGTGTTTTACCTCTGTAAATGCAACATGTTAATTGTTTAAATCTAGAATTTATAAGTTCCTGCTCAACATGTTGATTAAGAGTCTTACTAGGACTTGGCTATGAGCTTAAAATATATTAGTAAAAAATCAAAGTATAATTAATTCATCCATTAATTATGAAACTTAAGAAAAAAATTAGAGTATTTCTTTAAATATAAAGAAAAGATGAAAAGAATTATAATAGCATCTTATTTATGATACTTTCTTCTAGCCTTTCAGCAACTTTTAGGTTCTAAGGAATTTAATAATAGAAATGTACAGGAAACATTGATTTATGCCCCTAACATAGTTTAAAATTGCTGACTTTAAAAAGTTAAATCCATTTTAGCATATTACATAGTTCTTAAATCAATATATTTAAGTCTTTTAGTAAAAGTTAAACATAGATCTTATGTTAGTTTACTACTGTTGCTGTAACAAATTACCACAAAGTTAGCAGCTCAAAACAACACCAGTGTATTGTCACACAGTTCTGTAGTCAGAAGTCCAACTCTGATCTCACTGGGCCAAAATCAAGGTGTCCATAGGTCTGTGTTTCTTTCTACAGGATGTAGGGAAGAATTTGTTTTTTTGTTTATTCAGGTTGACGGAATTCAATTCCTTGCTGTGGTAGTATTGGTTCCAGGTCAGCTCATCAGCTAAGGGCATGTCCCCAACTTCTACAAGCCATCCATATTCCTTGGGTTGTGGCCCTCTCTCTTCCTCTTCAAGGCCAACACTGCTGGGTTGAGAGCCTATCGTGATTTCTCTTACCTTTTCTTCAGTTGTTTTCTAATTGCAGTCTTTTAGGAATCTAATTAGATTGGGCCTACCTACGTAATCCTGGATAATCTCTCCATCTCAAGGTCCATAACCTTAACCACATCTGCCATGTCCCTTGTGCCATGGTAAGGTAGCATATTTACAGGTTCCAGGGACAAGGGCGTGGGCATTTTTAGGGGCCGTTATTCTGTCTACTGCAGATCTTAATTGGGTCTATGTGGTATATACAGCATTTCTTACCAGTATTCTCAGTACTCTAGGATAAAATAATGTTAATAATAACAGGTAAATTTTATTGGATGTGTAATATGTTCTAGGCACTATTCTAAACTCCTTTTCTGCATTTATTCATTTAGTCCTCGGAAATGCCCTAGGAGAAAAGCACTATTATTATCCCCATTTATAGATAGGAAAACAGTTGCCGAGTGGGGAAGTCTCTTGCCTAACTTTTCATGGCTATTAAGTGGTGAAGTGAGGATTTGAACCTACACAGTCTGGTTCCAGAGCCTATGTGTGCTCTGAGCCACAACACAGTAAAAATTATTTCTGAATGTCTGGATTTACTAAATGTGGTTAGTGATATAGTGATGAGTTTGGGATTTGGCGTCAACAATGTCTGGATTCAAATTCTACCTTTACCAGTTACTGGATGACCCTGGGCAAGTTACTCAACCTCTGTGGGTCTCACTTAACAATAAACTGAATTAATAATAACACGATTAAATGAGGCCCTATATGTACAATACTTAGAACAGTGTCTTCACAAAGTAAGCTATTACTAGCTATAATTATTGACAATTCAACATTTAAAAACAGTAGTTGATTGTAAAAAATATTTCCTTTAGATGATTTCAGTCTCTTCATAAAGGAAAATTTTTTTAAATATAATTAAAGTTAAAAATAAATTTTTAATTAAAATTTTTCTTTTAATATACCACAGTGCTATCTCCTTTCTCAGACACTGATTTCTCCCCACTCCAGTATAACTTCCATCTTTCTAGCACTGTTACTTTCTAGTGTTATCTGATTGTACACTGTAAGCACTTCGTCCAGACTCTACTTGCCCAGGTTAATGTCCAAATGACTTAGAAGGGTAGCAGGACACAAAATCCAAATACGCCCTCTCACCATCCATCAGCCTAGTGTTTACACAGCCATCATTGCTAACTTCTCACTGTTCTCTTTTGCTTTATTCCTTGAGGGAGGCCCATGGTGTATCCTGGGTCCCTGGCCACAATGCCTTCTAATACCACTCCAAATCCCACCCTCTCTTCTAATAATCTCTGCTGCCATTGCCTTATTTCAAGCTCTCATCATCTCTGGACTTTAAATCATTTCCTGGCAAATCTGTGGCCTCCAGCCTTCCTCCCTTCAGGTTTAATCTCTTCCCTGCTCACCAGAGTGATCTTTCTAAAGTACTTAAACTCATGTTACTCTCTTTCTTCAAACCCTTCAGTGTCTCCCCCACACCCCAGTTCCTACAAACATTATTCCTTTTTCTCTGTCTCTTAACACTAGTTAGGTGCTTCTACTGTAGCATTTAAGGTATCACAATTGTTTTTTTAAGCACTAGTCTTTCCTTCTAAATCATGAACTCATTGATAGGGAATAAGAGATGGTTTTGGGGGAGCCTGAGTGGCTCAGTGGGTTGGGCATATGACTCATGATCTTAAGGTCCCGGAATTGAGCCCCATATGGGGCTCACACTCAGTGCAGAGTCTGCTTGTCTCCCTCCCCTGCGCACCCCCATGCCCCTAAAAAAAGAGATGGTTTTGCTTGAATGAATTTATTATATTATTTTGTCATTATCTATTTATATGCCTGTCTCTTGTCACTTAAGCTGTGAATTCTTGAAGGGGAGGCTCATTGCTTTATTCATTTCTTTTTACCTCTATGCCCAAGACAGAGGAGGTGCTTAGTAATTGTTGAATGGATGAAAAGGAAAAATAACTCAGAAAACATATAATTGAAAAAATTCTGCTTAAGCCTAAAACAGTATATAAAGCAACTTACCAGGAATATATAAGGTTGTGATTTTAGAAGAAGCATAACTGGAGCCAGAGTACCTAGCTTTGAATTCTGACTCTGCCACTTACTGTGTATGCACTCTTGGGTGAGCTAATGAAGCCTGTATCTTCTTTGTCTGTAAGACAAGAATGACAGTAGTAACCATATCTTAGGGTTAACAGATCAAATGAGTTAATGTTT